CCCAACACTACCATTATATCCTCGAGTTTTCCTAGGACACATTAAGAGTTATCACGTAATGCTTTGGAGCATCTATTTAATATTTTATTTTATTTCACCAATCATCATAATATACCTGCCATGTTACCATGTTAGATAATTACATAATGCTAATTATTACAAATTGCCGTAACAAAATTACTTTTTAAAAGTAATTTTTGTGAAATTTAAAAATGGACGTTTCATTACATGTGTTTATAATAATTTATCAGCTATTGACAAGTGATTGTATGAAATAACAGCAACAGTAATTCCAAAGTAGGTAGCAGCCACTGCAGGTTGATACTCGAATACTAAAATACCATATACCAATGGTATAAACTCGGTACTCGACTTGGTGGGACGAAGGAGGGTGGAGTACCTCTACTAACTTTTCCAATATTTTATAGTAACCCCTACACATTTTTTGAGAGCTTACCAATTCCGTTTAAAATTACCTTTTTACATACCAATTGCGCTCGGTAATTTTCAGAGTAATATTCATTTTATTCAATAGCACATATAACAATAATATTAGTATTGAAATATAATGAACATGTAAATTACAATTAAATAAATCTCTAATATATTATTATTTTATATTACATTGTATTTTTAGAGTATAATTTTTTTTTTTATTATTATTATTTTTTTTTTTTATTTTAAAAGAATATTTACAATCGATACAACAGACGAGGTATAATGAGTAGGTGATGTGACATAGGAACATTAGACATAAATAACATAATGGAAGTATTATTAAAAATTATTTTTAACATATAAATAAATAGCTTATTTTCAGATTTAATAAAAACGATTTGTTTGTCAATTTTTTCAGTTATTATATAATGAACGTCAATAATAGTTAGCTATAATTAGGGCGCAGATTTCAATGCAAAATGCATTTTTTTATGGTTGATCTTAGTCAATGATTTCAAAGTACATAATTTTATTCGTTTCATGTAGCGAGTGCTTCATAAAGCTAAAAATATTATTTTGCATTTTTTTGCATATTTTTATTTTTTTTATTTTTAGAGCATTTTTAGCATTAATGGGTCATTTTTGTTGGTTTTAATGCATATTTGTTCAATATTATGTCACCCTTTATCAGATAAATAACAAATAATTAGTGATTTTGTGTTACATCACGGTCGTAGTTCGTATGTTTTTATTTCATATTCGTAATTTTAATAGGGATAAATATTGTGTTAAATAATGCCCCCCCCCCCCCAAAAAAAAAAACAACAAAAACATCATCAATAAATTAATATGGTATTTTTAAGGTCATTTTTGGATGTAAAATTCATTTTTTAAGGGCATTAATACAATTTTTCACATTTTTAAAGCATTTACTTCATTAATTAAATTTTTAAGGTCATAATTGCATATTTAGGTATTTTTTAGGGCATTAAAATCCGCGCCCTAGTTATAATATACTTAATAAACATAAACTTACCTACCTAAAGTTTATGCAGCTCAATATTATTATCTATACTGACCCTAAAATACGAATTTTGTTTTGGAACAACTGGTCCATGACCTCTTTTTTATGTGCAAGTAACAGGTGTATCGTGTATCTAATTTTATTTTTATCAAAACAGGTGATATCGGGTATTGTAAATATAATGTATCGGGGCCCCCACTAGTCCCACTCATAGATGTATTCCAAATAGCTATGTAAAATCTTGGATACTTAGTGGCATATAAGAGATGCGGAAGAAATTTGTTGTCCAAAAAGAATCAAATTGGAAGATAAACCTGTTCATTCTTAATTCTTATTATAATTTATTTGTTTTCTCTCTTTTCGTTGGATCTGTATTCCATATTTCCATCCTTATGCGTGTTTCACCCTTACTACTCCACACCAAGAGCATTCTGTTGGTAATTGAATCTGTATGAGAAGGCCATGTGTGACCGATTCTCGGTCAGTTTATTATTAATTCTGTTTTTCTTGACTTTTCAATTGTTTCCAATGTTTTATATTTTGTTTAATTTCTCTTAAAATTATGTTTTAGTTTTAACAGTGATTTTTCTAGTGATTACGTAATACGTGCATAATTTTAGATATTTTTTTATTTCTATTTTTGTATTGTTCCTATTTTAATTTGGTGATATTAGACTGTTGTTTTATTTTTATTTTTGATTGTTGGGCTAATTCGTTTTATTCTAATTACTAACTTAATAAACATAAATTTAAATAACATAACTTAAGTGCAGTTTAATTTGATTTGATTGAATAATGCTCACACGCACCGAATCTCCAGACTTCTAGATTCATATTATAATTTTTATAGAAATATTTAATGAGATAAATAATAGGTACCTACCTACTAGTAAATCTTATAATGAAAATTACATTGATATCTCTTCGTCTATCACGTCATGTATATTTATTATTTAACGTTAAGTCTTGAACTGTGACTGATTTTAATATTAAAACAATATTTAAATTTTAAATATAATTTTGATAAGTATAGCCGCAGTAAGTAGTAACTGCTTTTTCTTTTACTAAAAAATCGCAATTTACCCATTCGCCCTATTAGATGTTGTGTCTTATGTATAGAGGTGCCTTTTATAGGTATAATAATATTAAATAGGTACCGGATGGCGGTGGCGTGGTGCACTTAAACATCTGATTATTAAAATAGATTTTCTTGATAGTTATTTAAGATAAGAATTTTTACGATATATTTAATATTATTAGTTTTAAAATAAAATGTCATTTGGTAAATATGGATGTAGAAGAAATAAAAATAAAAATCCTAAGAGGAATTGGCAATAGCCAATACATATATTTGGAAGTGATAGGTACGCCATGTAGTGGAAAACATACTAGGAAGATTAGAATTTAGAAGAGTGCTTAAGAAAATCTGGTGGTCATCTTGAGGAAGTAATTCTTAAAAAATAAACAGCATGTTACCTATGTACTTTGTTTTAATGTATTCATAATTAATGTTCATTCTTTTTTTAGTTTATAATTAAATTTTGAAAATCGGCCGTATATTAATGTCCCACTTTGTATTAATGCATAACATTATAATTTATAATTATTGATTAATAAGTATTTTATGTTTTTAATATTATCATTATTTTAATATATCGTAAAAACTAATTAGGTACAATTTAGAATAGGTATTGCATGAAAATAAAAAAATACCTAATAATTATTTAATACACTGTCGTCTGCCACGGACCTAGTAATTTATATATAAACTAACAAAATACAAACTACCTATTAAATGAATTATAACTCATACAATTTAACGCACTATCCATTTATTGGTACTTTTAAATTGTTATTTTTAAATTAATAACGTGTTACGCGTTAAATAACGGTTAATTAGTATTCATAAAATTCCGTGTGACGAATAACGCGTGATTTAACTATATACCTACTTTGATATTTAAAAAGTACAATCACTGCCCATAATTTGATAATTATTATAATACTACGTTCACGTTAAGAAGGAACCTCGGCGCCTATTTCTGTGCAGGGGCGCTGCTTGATTACACGGTAGGTTAAGTACAGATGTCTGACTCGATGGGGCTGACAAACGGGTGTTGCCTGACCGCTGCTGACGAAAACTGGTCGCCGCCAAGGTTCCTATTCTTAACGTGAATGGAGTATAGTCGTCAGTGGCGTATATAGGAGTGGGCCTAGTGGGCTGCAGCCCCCCCCCTCCACCCAAAATCACAGTCTTTTTAAATAGAACAACAATATATTTTATTAGGTACTATCATAACATTTCATAGCCTGTTGAAAAATAACAAATACGAATATATTTATAGAAACTGTTAAATATATAGTAGACAGTAGCCTCTAAGTAATAGATCACTTGCTAGTTTCTATCTACTATAGCCCACCCCAAAAGTTATTTCTTTATACGCCACTGATAGTCGTATAGAACTGAGAATTTCTTGAAGGCACTTTAAAATCTCAAAATATGTATATGCACTTCCCGACTCCGACATAATATGAACTTAACAGGCAATAAATATGCATTTAACCAGTTATTATATTAAATGTATATAGATTGCCTATATGGTCATTACCATTATTAATATTATAATTATAACTATTTATTAGATCACCTTGATTTATTAAAAACAGTTATTTCTGGCTCCTTCTGGGTACTGTTCTAAAAAGTTATAAAGAACGACGCTTCGGATTTAGCCTCATCTACCTGAGTAACCAATGACAATAATTTATTACGAAAAGAAATTCCGATTTCCACCGTGAATCTCAAAATCTTTGTTTAAGGACCTCTTTAAAATTTGAATTTTAGAAAATCTTTTCTTAGTGGGTCTCTAAATCATAAAACGAAACTACTGACCAAATTTCATACTCAGTAACGAAAAGTTTTTTTTATATATTGATAAGAACAATTTTCAATTATGTGTTGAAAAAGTTAAGTAAATAAAAACTTGATAAATGTATTTCTTTCTTCGACATTCACACCGTAGGTATATGTGTAACTAAATAAGAAATAAGAATAAACGTCTCAAAAAAACTTTTCTGATGCGTACGATAATCTCTTGACAAATACTTATGATGGACACTAAAGTTAATTTGCTACACACTCGCATCGAGATCGAGTGCAGTATAAAATAATAGCGGTGTTATCTCGGTATCGGGGATTGTATCGGCCAGGATACGATCCCTCAATTATAATGAAGTTACTATTTTAAATTTTCAAAATTTTTAATTGCCAAACTCGTTTGACACACTAACTTTGGTATATCGAAAAATTACAAGAAATGTTCTAAATCGTTCTATAATATACCATGCACTTTACATATACAGTATGACAAAAGCAATGGAAAAATATGTAAAATACAATTTTAGGTATAGCTTTCCCTGTGTTGTGTAACATATTTATAGATTACTAGAGTAGATTACTAGAGTTAACCTTTGTAGACAAATATGAAAAACTAAAAATCCTCAGACCATACTAAATGTACGCTAATATAATATTATATATATGTATCAGTACATTGCCAAAAACGTGAGACACCTGTACGGTCTGCCTCCGGACACGGAATACCACAACGGGATCAGTGGTCAGCGGTCCGTGTACCACGCGTACGGTCGGTATTACTTGCACTTGGCCACTACTCTCGCGGCCAGAGGGCGGCGGTCGGCCAAGGATGGCCGCGGGGTGCAGGAACCGCTGTCGCTGTTTGATTACATGCAATCGGTCAGCCTGGTGATAGATGCTCGGCATCTCGGCCCCCGGAAGTCCGGTTGTCGTACGGATGACCGGAAGCTGCCGCCAAAAGACAAAACGATTCTGGCTCGGTTGCCGGCCACCGAGTATCTGCGTGGCGGACAGTGTGCGCACGCAGATCAGGCTGTCGCGCGATTGCGTCCGATGCAGCAACAGGCGTGCATGAAGCCGACATCGAAACGGTAACTGTTGCGTGGCCACAGCACCTTTTCCTCAAAGGACTACGCGTCTACTCGTATATTATTAAAATAACGGTGCAAAGGATAAACCCATCCTTTGACTGTACAAAACTTAACATACATGAAATATCTTAAAGTGTTATCTTAAGATGTTCATTATTTGAAATAAAAATAGTTTTAAAATAAACCGGGTATAATAGCCACTCTGCTGTGCCCAGGGGGTCGGGCATATAATAGTTACGTGTAATTAGGGTATGTATAGCTCAGTTACTTTTGTAACTTGTAACTTATGAATTATCAAAGCACAAAAACCACAATGTAACTATTTTAATTGTAACTTGTAACTATATAGTTACAAATTGTCCTACAACTATACACGATTACGCACTTTTTACCTGCAAAAACACAACACGATTGAGTGTTGTTTTTTCTATTATTATTATTAATTATTCATATTCATACAAAAATATATATTTTTTTTTTTAGAAATTTCGTTAATTATATATTTTTAAATCAGCTTTAAAACAATAAGGTCAATCCATATACAGTGATTTCTTAGTATCAGGAATGACACCCTATCATATCATAAATTATTATTAAGTCCTATTAAGTTTTTTTAATTTAAATTTGATTAACTCCTAACTTAATTGATTTTTATTCACATGAACTAAATGTATTTCTTGTTATGTATTTCTTAAACAATGAATAAATCATAAAATATGTGTATATATTTTCCATAATCATATAAAAATAACATTCGTTAAAGTTATATATAAAATAACATTCGTTATAATTAAAAGGGTATAAGGCTAATAGTTCTAGTCAAAATATTTCACACTCAATTAATATGTTCATATCTTTATTTTCAATTTATATATTTAGATATAGTCTATTGTGAATAGTCACAGCTGGACTCGTGAATTTTTTATTAAGTACCTTATTGATAGTAAAAATCTTTTAAAAAAAAAAAAGAATGCAACATGTATAAACAATTACTTCGGGTTCTTCTAATTACCTGTTGTATATTTAATAATCGTTAAGATAATTGTTGTAGAAATGTAGAATATAATATCATCAAAAATAATAATTTTACTTACAAAGCGTGACTTTTACATTTTTTACTATGTTAAATAAACATGAATCTTCAGACGTAGGAACCTATACCTATTATCGTTTATATATAATTTCATAATATTATGACAAATAATAAATATAAAACGTATTTACTAGTGAAATACTAAAATGCAGCTCCCTAATATAATAAAAAGTGTCACGCCAAATATTTATCATTGTATATTTAAACAAAATATAATAATAAAATAATAGATTTGTTCTTTTTTATTTAACCTGCACAAATTAGATGTTGAAATGTGTACACAACAATGTGAACTCTCAATAAACGATGTTATAAATGTATCCCGAGGTATTATATAAGCTCCTTGTTTAATGGGTTAAAACCACACACTTGTCATTAGATAATTTCACATAATTTCTCTGCCGCAGACCAAGTGTCAAACTCGGTCAACGTTTACGAATTATCCGGATTCGTGATCATCCAACACGTAGTTTTTGTATGGAATTGAAGACGGATGAATCACATAACTGAATAATGTTCTCAAATTACGGTTATTTATATATATATATATAATAAATATAGTTGAAAAAAAAAGAGAAAAACAATTCGCAGATGACCCGACTAAGGGCATTTTACACAAACGTGACATGTCATCACCATTGTTACTATAGACATCTCGCTAAGTGCAACCGTCCAATTATCGAATACTAAATCAAAAGTTGTGTAAGCAATGACCAATCGAGACATTCTGTAACACAATGAATCGTAAATCGTAATAAATACGCATGAACGTCAACAACTGAGCGATAAATTATCGTGAAAAAGTGTTAAAATCAATATGGTCCTCAATAATCTTTATAAAAATGAGTTTGGTTAGCTAACAATTAATAATAATAATACAGTTATTCGTTTATTGAAATTATATATAGTTTAAAAAGTATTTAGTCCATTAACGCAAACGTCTCATATTTTATCTTTTATCGCACAATTGGTTTTGCTGTTTAGGACTTTAGGTATACATTGTATGTTTGTTTCGTTTACCATCATCATTTAGTAGGGGCGTAATTAGGGGAGGGGGACTTAGGGGGATAGACCCCCAATTTTTTTTTTACTGCTAACATTTTGATCAAAGTATTGATAATGACAATTCATGTTTGCTAAAAACGTATATCCCCCCTCCCAAGCCAAATTCCTAATTACGCCACTGTGACATTTAAATAACGATAACAGACAACTGGCACTTAAGACCCCTGCAAACCCCATTCATTTTTCATCAAAACGACCTTAGCGACTGACAAAAATTAAAGTACTTCTAGTGGTTCGATTTAAAAAATGTAAAGATGTTTCAATTGGTCAACAAGTCTACTTTGCATAGGTCGGAGCATATTGTTTATATTTTAGATATTTTTGAATATATTCAATACCAACAATTTATAAATGTATAAAATGTAAAATATTTATTCTCGTCAAGAATTTGCTAAAATTGAAAAAGTGCCCCGACCGATGCAAAGTAAACTTGTTTACCAACACAAACATCTTTACATTTTTTAAATCAAACCACTAGAAGTACCTGAATTTTTGTCAGTGCGACGGCTATTTCAAGTCCATAAATTAGTTTTGAATATTTTGATCTAGACCGTAAACCAGAGAAGAAATAACAATTTTTATTGTGAATTGAATTGGGTCGATGGTGGTGGTAGGGGAGTATACACACTAATGATCATCATTTACTACACGCCCAAAGACGATCAGTAATCGCAGGAACGAAATAATTGCCTAAACACAACTCGTCAACTCCTTAAAAATGACACATTTCCAGGGGCCTTAAGTGGAAATAAAACTAATATATGTGTATATCTCTTGTATATTAACAAAGTATAACGTTGTAACATCTTAAGGTTAGGTTAGGTTAAGATTTTACTCAAAATGTATTATACTATTATAGCGTCGCGTATTTATTGCAAGGTTGTTTGTCCAACGTTGATTTGGGAATGGAGGCTAACTTTTTTGTTGTAACAAAACGCATTATAAACTGGCTGTTTAAACTGCACGCAATGAGCCGAACCGCCAAATTACAGACGACGTTGTTCACCCATCGTCGTGCCCGGGTGTATAATATTATAATATCAAAAATAATATATAATGATGATACGTATAATATTATAATATTATTATATTATATCCCACGAGCGAGCAGTATCTCGGGGAGGGGGGGGCCTTCCGGAGTCGTGGGTCGTTCACAACATAGCAAGTATTTATAATAATATAATATTTTATTATTTTGGTGTTATATTATGTGTACAGACGTGCACAGTGTTGATGAATGATGATTACGCACGGTCGTAGTCAAATATAGGTATATATATCATATTATTATACAGTTGTTATTATGACGTGACGTGTACCTGTTGGTTATTATAATTGTACACTTTGTCTATGTTTCATGTAAAGAAATTTGGTTTTTTCAAAGGTTGAAATGCATAGGCCACAACACAAACACGACCTTAGCCAAGCCCAAGCCCAAGGGTAGCTTATTATTGTATGTTCATAGCATTCCGCGTATGAGCATGTCAATAAATTGACAATATAATATTTAAAATAACATTTGTAAAGTAAATAATATATATACAGTGTGTAAACGGTAATCGAGAACACTCAATATCTTTGCGTAGAGACCTGCTATTTGAATTCCGTTTTTTTGGCAGTTGTTATGACATAAAAATACACATTTTTATGGTCTTTGAATTTTTTTACTTAATTAGTCACGCGCATGCGCATGTCAACTTTTTTTTTTTAAACGGCAACCCCCTGCTTTAACCACTACTTATTTTTTGCCTATTTTTTTAATGAATTTTGGTAGTTGAATCAACTTTCTAAGTCCAAAATTGACCAAGTTACAGCCAATCAAAAAAAAGAAAAATTAGAAAAAAAATGCGCTCGATTTTCAGCTTTTTGATTGTAACTCTGAAAATAATTATTTTAGGAATGTTAAACATTGACATTTTTGTAACTATTTATTACGGTGATATTCATACGTTATTTTAACTTCAATTACTGAATAATTTTCTCGAGCTGAATCATGTTTTGTTCACGGCAGAGAACAGTTTGAACAATTTATTCGTTAGATTTTTTTTTTTTTTTAGATTTTTATTAACTAAATAAATTGGTAACTTAAATAAGAATTGAATTTGTTATAAATTAATAATTATTAATACGTTCTAATAGATCCATTAAATGTAAAGAAATAAACAACATACTAATTTACGTTTTTTCTGCTATAATAAGTTATATGATTTATTACACAAATTAAAGAGAAAATTATTCAGTAGGTAATTGAAGTTAAAATAACTTATTAATATCACCGTAATAAATAGTTACAAAAATGTCAATGTTTAACAATCCTAAAATAATTATTTTCAGAGTTAAAATCAAAAAGCTGAAAATCGAGCGCATTTTTTTTTCTAATTTTTCTTTTTTTGATTGGCTGTAACTTGGTCAATTTTGGACTTAGAAAGTTGATTCAACTACCAAAATTCATTAAAAAAATAGGCAAAAAATAAGTAGTGGTTAAAGCAGGGGGTTGCCATTTAAAAAAAAAAAGTTGACATGCGCATGCGCGTGACTAATTAAGTAAAAAAAATTCAAAGACCATAAAAATGTGTATTTTTATGTCATAACAACTGCCAAAAAAACGGAATTCAAATAGCAGGTCTCTACGCAAAGATATTGAGTGTTCTCGATTACCGTTTACACACTGTATAGGTTAGTGCTTGTTATTACTAACCGATCTTATTAATGCATAATAACACCTATATAGGTAATAGGTATGATATATTCAGTTAGTTTTACATTGTTAATAATAAATGAGAATCTATTTATTAAATAGATAATTTACTATTTATTTAATCCATCAATTGAATCTAGTTGGTACT